CAAAATCTGTTTGAGGAGATGGTGGGTTACTTGAGAACAATAAAGTTTTAGAGGTCACTGGTATCTATGACAACTATTTGTTTTGCTTTCCTCCTCCAGCTGTCTTTTTTGTACCCGTCAGCATCATATCAGACTTGAAAAGTCTGAAGATGCTCACTGTGACACATTTTCAGTAGCATATAATCAGAATTTCATTTCTTCAGAGGGCTGAAGATGTACTTATGGCTATTTATATAATTTACTAGTGAAACTCCACACTTTTAGAATGAACTGTTGGATATGTATTAGTTTTACATACATATAACATATATATTAGATATATTAATTATATATATTAATATCGTGTTTTTACCAAAGAATTAGAATGTTTCAAGTAAAAATGAGCAAAACAATGTGTTCTCTTTTACTCTACTGTTACAACTCACTGAGTTATTCTGATTGACATTTTGCACAAGAAATACACTTAGAAAATAAAACTGCTATTAAAATACAGCTACATTATAAAAGTTGAAATCAGATTGTAGGAATTATTGGGTAATCTTTATAACAGGAAGTATGCATTTTATGGCAAACTTATATGAATGTATGTATGATATGCAGGACCATGCAGCCAACAGGCACACACAGTTGGCACAGGGAATTGAGAGAAAATAATGAAAATATGGAAGCTGATTCCTGTGTAACTTGCAGAAGAAACTGACGGAAAGAACACAAAAAAAACAAGTCCAGAGACTCCCGGTTTTCTGTATCTTTGTCTCTGCAGTTTTTTGAAGAATATTTTTGTTTCAGAATATCACATTTAAATAGTTTTCTTGACTACACACAAACTACTCTTACTAAGTTAAGAGTTAGAGCAGTTTGTTCCTTCCTTAAATCATGGCAAATTTCTTTCTCGGTAGCAAAGAAGGTTTACAGAAGTTTCATTATTTTTTTCTAACCTGATCAGGTCTTGAACTCTGCTGTTGAAGGCTTCCACTTGTGAGGATTTACTTTTCACTTCCTGTAATATCTTCAGTGCAGTAGAGTGGTTGTTTCCATCTGGGAAGCTGGAGATTAAACATCTGAAAATCACGGCAGTTATCCTCAGAAGTCCTGTTGTTAAATCTTCAAATACCTGCTTATTTGCACTTCTGCCTGAAGTAGCATTATGGTCATCTGGAACACTAACCTAAGTAAAGAGAAAAAAAGAAAAAACAATCAGAATTGATTAAAAATAATCAAAGTTTGCAGAGAAACACTTAGAAAGTTGCATATGAGTATACCAAAAATATAGTAATATATTCCAGCAGTGCTGACGGACATTAAAGCATTTCAGATCAAGAAAACATCTATACCCCTTATGCAGACAGTATCAGCTAGAACAGAATAGATAAAGTCAAAACAGCATTTAGCGTACGAGAACTGAAGGAAGCCTTACAGCAGCAGAGTATGTCAGTAGTATGACTGTGGTGTTCCTATGCATACACAGGATTTTTGATGAGTCACGAGCAAAAAAAATTACCTTTTTTTTTTTTTAAACTTGACTGCAAATAAACACACTACTGAGATGGTTACCATGAAGACATGTTAAATGTCTAGGATACACAAAGCATACAGCAATACAGAGGAAAGCCAACTATTTTCTGCGGAAGGAACAGCGTTTACTGTTGTATGGTAATCACCTAATTTGGAAAAAAAACAATATACCGTCAGAAGGCTACTCAACAGTTTGACTCCTGAACAAACACCCCTACAAAAAGGAGAATTTTGAAAGGTAAAAGTTCTTGTGACACAGCAGGTACAACTGTGGCTCTTCATAGAAAAAGACAATATGCTTTGCAGGCAATACGAATGATCTTTGCAATGAGATCTAATCTCTGATGGACCTTCTCCTTCATAGCAAAAAATCCAACCAACCAATTACAGAAACAGTATCCTGAAGTAAGCGTCTAACACTGAAGAATTTCAATGTTAGAAAAATTACAAATTTTTTACCAAAAAAAGCGAGATCGATTGTGATAAAACTCAAACCCTAACTAAGAAGAAAAATAATTGTACCTGGAACAGCACTAGCTTGCCCTTAGGAAAGGGCCTACTGAGCAGGAGCTAGAGACAACCCACAGGAAGGCCACAGAAGGTGCCATCTGGTAACAACGGCAAAGGACGCTGGGGAATACAAAATCTTTTCCAATCTACAAACGGGTATTCAGTTGTGTTGCTGAGCTTCTGCTTACTTGAATTCAGAACAAATTATATTACCTGCTGAGGGACCCAAAGAGGCAACACAGAGCTGTTTTAAGTCAGAGAAAGAGGGAAACCTTCACTGAATTGAGTCAGGGGAATTATGGGGGTTCTCCTTCACACCTTTAAGTGTCAGAACTTCTCAGTCCAGCAGTTTACCACGAAAGCTAACCCAAAGTAGCTAACCATTTCAAAAAACTAAGTATTCGTCTCAGGCAAGAAGACCCTTAAAGGCACGGCTCCAAATCTTTCTTCAATACACATTTCTCTCATTCATCTTTTTTCAAAAAGAAAGAAAACTGCTGAATCTTCCAAAGTCTACAAAAACGAAGAGAGTCCTGATTTTGTAAAAAATGAAAGACAGTTGAAGTAGAAATTTCTGCCAGGAAGGGAGGGCGGGACACAGTAAAAAACCCTCTTTATCCTGACCAAATCTAATGAGAAGAAACCAACACACACCCCCCCAAAACCAACCAACCAACCAAAACTCAACAAACAAGCAAATAACCCAAACAAACAAACAAACAAAACTACTAAGGAACTACCTAAGAAGACGGAAAAAAATCTGCACAAATTCTAGAGCACAATCTGATATGCTGGAACATTGTAAAGGATGACATGAATAACACAGTTCTAAAAGATGCAATGGGAAATACTTTCCTCCCGCAAATCTCAAATAAGGCATGAAGAAAGTCTGAGCACTTTTATGGATACTTTCAGATTTTAACTATTAAAGGACAGCAAGAAAAACATGTCCCATGAGTAAGGCCTGAGCTTCTCAATATAAAACATCACCTGATGACCATTTTTCCATCAGATGTCAGTCACTTGTCAATCACGTCACAAGCACAACATGCAGCTCTCTCTGAACAGACCTCAGAGGAACTGAATCCGATTTTTCTAAATCATTCAGCTAGAGGCCGTTCCTAAAAAAGGCAGGGAAGTTGAGATGTACAACACGTAAATCTGAAGACAAATCTATATGCAGGATATAGATCTGGAAGGAAATCCTCATAGAGAGTATAATTTATTATTATTAATTTTATTTTTTCATTTCTGCAGTCCAAGATCATTCAAGCCAGCTGAAATTCTGCCCTATTATGATCAAACAGTAAGTGAAGTGTGTGTGGAAGTCCTGCAGTTTTACAGGCAGGATACTGGCAGCACAGATGCATCCATCAAGACACGGGGCTCCTACGTACACTCCCTGTGCTTAATGCTGCTGGACTCCACGTATCAATAGACCTCTGTGGAGCTACTTTTATGAGACAGCTTGAGGCTTTCAACACTGTAATTAGTGATCAATATCGGCTAAAACTTTATTTTCGTTCCCCGTTAAAATCATTTACACTTGGTATATGCTAGTGAGGTCACAGAAAATCATTCTTCCCTGTATAGGTATCAGGAGGGATTTGGTAACACTTGGTGACAAAGAACAACATGCACATTTCTTTATTATTCATTACCTTTGAGCCTTGTGCTGGTACTTAAAACTCATTGTAATAGTCTGTTTCTGGTGACGAGCCAAGTGAGCAAGTGAGAAGTCTTTAGCTGCTTATTCAAGTTCAATAGGGAAAAAAAATATTATGTTGCTCCAGTAACTTCTGTTGACTAAAATAATTCATGCCTAATGATTCTAATTGCCCACTGAAACAGATGGATTAAGCTTTGCAATGTATAAATCAATTTAAATGTGGCGACTTTGTACTAGGAACGCCAAGTTTTAAAAATTGCTAACAAATGCTACTCGATGCTTTTTCACCTAAGATAAAAAACGATATACAAATTATTTCTTAAGAGAGTTAATAATATTTTGCAGTTGAGTCTTCCATTTGCTTTAAGGAAGAGTACTATGTCTATTTTTGTCTTCTAGTTGAGTGTACATGTAAGAACTATATTTTCTAAGTATATAGCCCTTAGCTACATAAGTTCATGCTTTAATATAAAACTGTTCTTCCTAATTTGTAAAATCAGCACAATTGCTTAATGCAGAGCTGATTTTTCACATTTGATTTTTGGGGAAAGTGTGTGTATGTGTACAAATATGAAGTGAGAAAAAACCATGGGTTTTATACTATGTATGTCAAAGAAGAGATAGAAGGAAATAATGTTTCACAGAAAATGCATACATCTGAACTTAATTCCTACCTTTAATATCTTCCATTTATATGAATTGAAATGACTGAAGAAAGATCAGCTCTTTTACTGAAGAAGAAATTGATGGGATAGTGTGAAAACGTGTTGAGATTTATGTTCAAAATTAATTGGGGTGCTTGCAAAAGTGATGTATTACTTCGCTTGTTGATTATTATATCAAGCAAGGGGGTAGGAAATGTTAAGATTTAATAGTGTAATTATGAAAGCTTTCAAGCTCTTGTTTCTTTGTGTTGATTACAGAAGGAGTTCATGATACTCAGAGAAACCGTGTTTGCTGAAGGTGGGCTTTGGATGAATAAATGTTAAAACATTACACATCTTTATTTCTGAGGTTTAAGAGTTTAACTGACACCAATCTATAGGTGAGATTACACCCTTAAACTTTGACTTGTCAAGTATTTAGCATAAAGCATTTTTAAATCACAAAGGAAAATCAGGAAAAACGTAACTATTGTTCCATTATTTGACACATCCACCACCTCAATGCTATCTTAGCATTTATGATGACTGCCTATGCTGGGCCTAATCAAGAACTCCTACTTTCTTCTAATCAGTTCTTGAGCCAGAACGCTCTGATGACCAGATTCTCAGCTCTGGTACAGTCTCCATACAGCAGTTCAGCTGTTCAGCAGAGAATTCCTTCTGAGCAGGGATTCCCTTGCTTGTGCAGAGCTGCCATAAGCTCTTCAGCTCTGCCCAGCATCTAGGACTTAATCCTGCAAGATGCTGAACAATATGGCCCCAATCCAGCGAAGCACTTAGGTGCACATTTAATATAGCTGAATATATTACTCCATTCTGACTCATGTCACCAAAAGTACCTCCGCATATCAGAGCACTTTTATTTTTGTGCTAACAACAACAAAAAAAATCCAGTTTCCAGTTAGCAACACAGAGCCCTGTCACTGAAAACTCATTTATGTTTTTATTTGTCTCATAAAAAGCACAATCCTTCATAGCCACGAAGAATCTTAAATATAGAGCTGCTAAACCTAAACGGAAAGCATTCAAACCTTTTGAAGCACCTGATTTCTGTTCATTTGGTCACTTATGTTGTACTCTTCTCCCATTAACAGTGGTGATTTTCTGCTTCTGGCATGTGTAAGTCCTTGGGCTTGCCTCAAAAACACTCTGGAAAATGAATACTTTCAAAATAGTATCTACAGGATGTCAGACTTTCTATATTGCAACTAGTGAAACTAAAGAAATGGAAATGGCCTGGGAAGTCTATGGGCTTGAGATGGTGCAGAATGTTCCACTTTTAAATTCTCTACCCTTAAATACTTCAGTATGTCATCATTTCTCCTACCTCAGCCTTATTTTCAAGATTTACTACAGGATTAACACATTGGCTTCCTACTGAAGCAAATAAACAAAATGTGAATTTTTGGTCTCATAAAAGTTACATTATTAACAAGAAAGAAGAAGACATGAAGTTTTTGTGCTTTTTCACATGGCCAACACTGACTAAACTGCTTTAGAAACAACCTGATTCACAGAGCTGACATCTAACTGAGCTCCTTTTTTGCCAGCCTTGATAGTTCTAGGTGCTGGTCCTCAGGTGTCCAGCTAGAACTGAAGGCAGAGGCAGTGCAGGTTTTTTTACATATCTTAGTGACCAGTAAGGTAGAAACTTCCCACACAGTCCTGTTAGTGGGGACCAGAAGGAGCGTCAATGCCACAACAGCTGAACACTGTGGAGACAGAATGTAATTTCAAAATGGACCACAACAGCTGAGAAGCACGGATGTGCCTCTGACTTTGTAATTCTTGTCGCAATCATTGCAAACAAACATGAAGCTGCCTGACTTGTTGCAGTACAGAAGATTCAAAAACTGGCCACAAATGGTTAAGAAACTAGCAACTCCGATAGGATGTATACTGTCATTCTGAAGCACCCAAATTAAACGGCAGCACGTTCCAGTGAAGAAATGGGGGAGAAAAATTACTTCACTGTGACTAGATAGCCAGATTAACTTAAACCCAATCAAAGGATTGTACTTCATGAGTAAAATTTCACACGCCACTTACCTACAAAGCAGTCCAGATTTAAGTGTATTTTGGAGCAGAAAACTGTAACGAGCAACTCACTTCTGATCTCTACCTCTGTTTGATCTCTATTTACATTGCAATGTTCATTTCACATATTTTTATGTTCACTAATGATGTTTTATTTAGAATTTTCAGATATCATGCACTTAAAAATTGCCTTAAAAAAAGAAATCATAGCGATCCAATTTGAAATTTTCAGAACTTCAATCAGAGCAACCGACTCTGGTTGGTTCAATCAGAGCACCCGACTCTGGTTGGACAGGCTGGCAAGAGTTTTTTTTTCTTTTCAGTTCTCAAATCAAGCCTATACGTTACATGTTTACATAAAATTATCTACTTAAAGGAATAAAAATGATCTGATTCTAGCCTTTAGCAATTAGCCTTAAACAGAAAGAAAAACAGTCTAAAAATTTTATTGCATGAGTAGGATATGAGCAACAATGCACATGAACAAATGAAGCGCACAGCGGTGACTATCTCAAGCTAGTCATCTGCAATTCCATGCAGTATGCGATTCAAAAACGAAGCAAGAAAAATTCATGTAATTTTACGTATTTATGTGAACAAAGAAATATAACAACAGAAGTGTCTCAATTTCTAATTCTTACTGAGTACTGATCTGCATTACACTTTAACTGGTAACAGCAGGTATGCTATGATGGGAAAGATCTGAATGAACGAACAAAACCTTCTAAGAATTTTGACTGGACAAGGTGATCTTGTCCAGTTTGTGATTCTCAAAAGCTTTTGGAAATTTCCCTTTGATCTACCTGACCTGTTGTGCTTTTCTTAGTGTGAAACCATAAAATGATAGATAGCCAACCCACCCCCAAAACGCACCCCCAATCTATTTACTAAATAGTTCTTTACAAATGCAGGTACTGATATGTACGGTTTATACATATGGCTTTTTCAGATACCTTCATGGAAAAGTTCAAGACAGCTGTCACTTGACTAGAAAGAAAACCCCACAATAATAAACTATTCTTACATGCTTACAGCTCCATGTACTTATTTGTCTCAGTGTGAAACCTTCCAAAATATACAATTAGAAAAGTTCTCATTATTTTGCAACTGTCTTCGAGATACAGTAGACAAAGAAGAGCAGAGAGAGCAGTCTGTAGATAAATAAAGTTACATCTCGAGCAGAAGACTTACAAGAATGTAGGTGGGAAGGTTGATCCATTAACCACTGAAATCAGGAAACACACTACTACTGACCTCAGCAGACACTGACTTAGGCATTACCTGAGCTAAGGAGGCTAAGGAAGGTAAAACGGTAAGTAGAGTCTGCAGAAGGTTTCCTACCAGTCTCTTTAGGTATGAGATAAAGGCAGGTCTAAACAGGACACTTTCAACAACTAACTCAGGCAGGCTGGATGATACAAAAAATTAAGAAACACAGTCCATTTGTAATTCTACCTTTGCCCGTTGGTACCCAAGTTTTCACTGCAAAAAAAAATATTTGTGGTTTTTTTTTTTATAATTGTTCAAGTAATATTTTGAGGAGAAAAATGTTATACCTGCGTAAAGAAAAGTGAGCATTTTGTCACTAATGAGAAGTGATTGCTTCAAATTCTATTCTTTAAAATGTAAAGCTCAGCTTTCGCAAAAGTGAAGCTGATATTGCATTTGACTGATGAGTAAAACCAAAACTAAAACCACATTAAAATGGCTGGAAATAAGGTTCATACTGGCTGTATTCAAGAACAAATTTAAAGGTTTCTCAAAACTAGATTCTTTTTGCTTCTGTATTCAGCAAATGTTGGCATACTTGTTTAACAAACTGTTAAAAACTTGCAAATATACGTTCTCATTTATTACTCCTGGTATTACTCGGAGTTTACTTTCCAGCAGTAAGTGGAAATACATGCAACACAGGCAAAGGCAGCATCATACAGTTCAGGAAACTAGGAATACTGGAGGCAGTTAAATTCCTTGGGGGGGTGTCTCTTAATATTTTGGTATTCAGAGCTTGATCCGATTTAAAAAAATGTTCTCCATTTATCTGTTTCTTTTTTTTGTAAAAAAGAAGAATTCCAACTTGATCTGATTTATTATATTTTCAAGAGAGAAAAACGAGGGTTAGAAAAGCAGCACTGTATTTTTATTTTTTTTTTTTTACTTGAATACGTACTTCATGGAACTACAAAGATATCCTAGTTTAAGGGCCAGTTTTGCCTGCAGAGAACATAAGAGACTTTATGCAAAAGAAAGAAAAGTCCACTGTGGATCATGGGAAACATTAAGCTTTAATTTCAGTTTGCTGCGATTCAAGGGTAGTATTTGGCAACAGACTGAACACAGCTCTAAGCGTAGCAAATTTTTCTTATGCAGTATGATCTCTAGGTGGACAACATTTCCTGAGAAATAGGGAAATAGGGACAACATTTCCCTCTGTATTTCTTCGGGAAAAGCGCAGGCCGTTTGCGCAGCGCTACAGTGAGAAAAGGGAAGGTGTTTGGCATCAGAATGAATCTTGTCACTTGTGAAGTGCTGAAGGATTTCATCTCTTGTGTAATTAATTACCCACGGAGCCTGTGCTCTGGCTCTCTGCAGAGAGCTCGCAGGGTTGTGACTGGCCCAGCACAATACACGCACCTTTCACTAAGTATATTTGAAATCTAATACCTGGAATCCTCTTGGAAAGATCTGGTGAAGAATGAACTGCTGGCAGCTACTTAAGAGGAGAACGCACAGGTTGCATTCAGGTTTTCTTTGTGTCAAGGACCTTCGGACTGTCTTTTTAAAGTGTTCATCAACAGTCCTAAGGCTTGTTGATTCTAACAGCGCCATTTAAATTATTTAAAATATGTACATAACTTTTCAATTAACAAACTGCTTGGCTCATGAAAATACATACACACAATTTATAAGTAGAAAACCAAGACTAAATATCTTATGATGAGTAGGTCACTATGAATTAGAAATGAGTTTTCAAATAAAATATTTAATGACATTTCAAATTAAATGAAACATTAGAAAATTAAAACTTTCAGAGTTAAAGAGTCCTGCTATTTAAGCACTTCAGCAAATCAAACTACAGCAACATATTGACCTGACGTATAGTCCCAATATTGAAACACATAAGAACCAAACACACATGGACAACGCATATTATTCTATACTTTAAATATTACTGTAGGGTGAATTAGAGAAGAAAACATCAGAAAATGTTAAAGACAGAACACTGTGCACTCACTCGAGTTCCTGGTATGCTTTTGCAGAATTTATTAGCAGAAGGAAACAAGCATATCAGTTCATATAGAAATATAGTAAATACAGTTACCAAATACATACAAAAGAATCTCTTAAGCCTTTATTCTCATGTATCTCCTGGTGTTCTTATACTCTAAATAACCTAATATGATTGTGAAGCACACAAAAATTTCTACATTAAAATAAGTATTTTACGTACCGTAAATTGGTGTATCAACAGGTCCATCAGAAAAGTGATCTTATTACTAAAAAGAACATAGGTGCAGTTTTCTGTGCAATTACTGCAGGTGAGGCTGTAAGCATTTATTGTATTGCACAGAGACCTAAAAAATCAGAAGGAAAGAAAATAAGATTGTTACTTTTTTCTTCAGTAAGTTAAAAGCAAATAAATGGAAGCACATCACAAAACAACCTTTCAGCAATCCACATTTGTTTCTTAAACTTGAGATTCCAAACAGAATAAAAACGTACATGAAATAGTAACTTCAAAACAGTAAAGTCATACTTATCAAAAGTCATGTACTGTGTGGCTACTGGATTCTTCCATATTCAAAATTCAGTTTACAGCTAAATAACATTCATTGTAATATGTAATTTTGAAACATCTGAGCTTTCCTTGTGATATGTGATACTAAAGGTATTTTCCTAAGTGTAACTATGCACATACGTGCATTCTCAGTAAATGTAAACATACATTCTTAGTAAAAACCTAATACGAATTATGAGCGTACTAGGAAGGCATAACAAAACTTACAGAGTTTTATCAGCTAATTTCAAAATTTAGATACATAATATTTTTTTCTCGTGGCTTACAGTTCTATTATACAAGCAATTTGGGTATAAAGTTCCTTTTCTAGCACAATCTTCAAGAAAAAAAGACCTGTATGAAGCAATTCACAGTGTATCGGGACCAGCTTTATTTAGAGAGAGGTTATCGTGCAGCGCCTGTGAACTAATGCAAGGAATGGAGAGGATTGAGTAATTTGTACTGAGCAAGCAAAACTGAGCGGGTGAAATTCCTGTCCAAAAACTTCTGCTAATGTATGGTGAACCACTACTGAAGAGAGTCTTTAAGTGTTAGTGCGTAACTACAATAGCACCAATTGACCTACACCTATGGCTGGTGGGAAGAGGTAAGACGTTTGCAATGGTAACAAGAGAAAACCATAAACACAAGAGCCACAGAAAGCTCCAGATGTACAAAACATGCCCCATTATTCTTTGCATCATGTGCAGTAATTTGCATCTGCTCCAATTACAGCGTTCTTCTCAAAACAGGACTTGCAGGGAAGCTGGGACCAATCCTATAGAATATACTCACAGAGAAGATAAATCTGACCATGGATAACACTATTCCAGAATAAACACAAAATGCATTTCTTGAACTTTGCTTACCACAAAAGCTATCACTGTTACTACACAAATATGCACACACACAACACAAATGCATCATCAATATATACAATAATAAATAAAGATGGCTAGAAGTTCAAGTTGTTTGTCTAAAGTAAACCAACAGGAAAAGAATTTTTACTTTGTTGGGTTTTAACGTGAAAAAATGTGACTAAGTTTAAATAAGCTCCATGGAAGAAAATAAATTGTGAACTCTGCCAAAAGGGCATACGAAAGTGGGACTGCAACAAACAACACGTTATCGTACAAAAACCATCAAAGCTGGTATTTAACATAACAAGCTGCAGACTAATTTGACATAAGGAGAGAGTTGAGTTTTATGCTTTATTTTTCTCCTAAAATATTTTTGAAACAACAAAGTTATTTACACGATAAGGAAGGCTGCTTTACTGATTGCTGTGTTCAGTGCTGTGGCAGCTGGTTACTTAGCACGGCTCCCCAGAGCTGAAATGGAAGCATCGTATAGACATACATTGTATTTCTCCAGCCAAGAAAAGCTAGAAATGCTCAGAAAATTTAGAGTAAATTTTTTTTTTTTTTCATTTGTATTTCTGGATTGCCTTTTCTTCGGCTGGAGAAACAATTTTGAATTTAAAACAGAAGCGTTACCTTGCTTGGCTTGATCTGTAAAAACATAAAGAACATTTATACCTTCCCTTTGTTAATATTCTGAGTATCATCATATTACCAGCTGCATTAAATTTACTGTACTGGTAATTAATTTTACTCTACTGCCTAATTAAATCAGTTTCAATCTGCAGTTTGCATAATACAAAAACAATATTAAATCATTACTTATTGATCAAAGGCAGGTTAATTTTCACCTATTTCACCCAATTTTTACCCTACAAGGATAACACCTATACAAAATTCACGTAGCATGCTTCACGTGCGTTTTTAAAAATCTGCCTTGCAGAAGGATTCTCTGTTCCTATCTTGACTATATCAAGGTATTTATTCCACTTTCCTCAGTGATGCTGAAATAATTTTCATTAAGCAAGTACTTTTACTTTTCATGGAAGATTACTCCCCTGTGTAGGTGTGTTTACAAGGGGAGAGAGAGATGAAATTATATTGGCAGTTTCTATTTTCAGTTGAGTAGAGGCTTTAAATCAGTATCTCATTTTATCAGCTGTTCTAAAATAAAGATTAATTCTATTTAAATATAATCATTAAAATCTACCCACAGTGTCAAATGTGACAGGCTATGTGGCAGGTTAACTTACAATTTTATCAGCATTTCAGAGTTTCAGAGGTGATTTACTTAATTCACTGCAACAATGTTTTTTGATACATGGGATTCCTAAGAGGATCATTCATTTTACATTTGAAAACACAAAGACTTCCCACTTTACACACAGAACAAACTCCGCTGTAATAATGCATTATGTTTTTGTACTTCCCAACTGAATCTCCTGTCAGAAAAAGTCCTTCCATTTTCAGAGACTCAAATAATGCATTTGAAAAGGTAGTGTAAGCAAATGGATGTCAAATTAATTTTTCACAAGAATAAAGAGGGTTCCTTTAATTGATAACATAAGCTTGCTAACAACACATTCTAATCACGGCACACTCTGAACTATGATTCAGTTCCACAATTTTTTTTTAATGCAAAATTGGAAGTGTCAGCACAGAAGCCGTCCCCAGGTGGTTCGCAGTGTTAAATGGCAGATTAGAGACAGCACGACTAATTTCTTTACTTTAATCTTATTAAGGGAACAACAGCTGTCAACTGTCACCATTTCTGCACAAGGCCTCCGAGACAAGCGCAGGGCTGCGAATGTCAAGCCAGAACTTTATTTAACCACCACTTAAACTCTCTGGGATGAAAAACTCTATCCATTTCTTACTGTTTTTTCCCGCCGGTTGGAAGCTCTGACTGCTCTTAATCCCAAAACTTTTATCTCAAGAGATATCAAAATCAGCTGAAACAGTAAAGCACGAGCCTCACATAAAGCAGCTGTTTATCAACAACTGATGTTGCTCCAAACTTTGTATCACACCCGCAAATCAGCTTTAAAGCTGTGTTAGACAGCGTGTATACTCAGACCGCGTAGTAAGCCCACCCTCTGATGTAAGGCTTTCCTCTAGAGTAAATCCAATTATGAAAACACTCACAGCACACAAACTTTGATCCGAAAAAGAAATCTGTCTTTAAACTAGACAAAAATACGCATCTGTATGTTATATTTATTTTACATGAGTACAAAGAAGTAGGAAGAGGATTCATTCTAATCAACGTTTTCCAGCTAGATCTCAACAGTTTATATGTATGTATGTGATTTTATTTCATGCTAGCACATCCTCACTTTCTTCAATTTGGCTGCTATAAACAAGTTGACAAACTGTAACTTTTAGTGGAAATGCTGAGGCAGCAACAGTATCCAGCCATGAAAAACTAACCCACCATAGTGCACCAGGATACATAGGCGAGAACTCACAGCTTTTGCTTTATGAAAATCAGGGCATCTTCAACATATAATAATTGACCACTTTCAGGTGTAACACTTTTTCACATTACTTTCAACTTCAGAAGATTATACATGAATGTACTTCGATTATCAGCAAAGAAAATAACCCCAAAAGCTCAATTTGGCAGTGAAATAACACAAAACTAAACATAATCAAATTTAGGATGTGTTAATTCAGTAGTGAACTGTTCATTTTTAACCAGTTTGAATATTATGCAGCACTCTGATAGAGAAAGTGACCAGTATTGGTATTTGAAAGATGAGTTGAGAAGAAGTGGGAGGTTAGCTATTACTGAAAAACACTGCACAGAATGGTTAAAGAACCATGGAATAAGGATTTAAATGAAATATAAATAAAAATTGATTTTTAAGGTAAAAATACCAATTTTAGCTCTTGAAGACTACACAGGCCTTTATACTTCACTCACAAGGCCTATAACACCATAAGGAACCCTCAAAGATTCATAATCAATTACTGCTTTGTATTTTACGTTACTTAAGGATGTTCAATTAAAAAAAAAAAGTCTCCAGCTGAAGTCTCGTCACAATTAATACAGAGAAGACAAAAACTCAACATCAATTCTCCTTCAAGACACTTCCAAAAACAGACTAGTTTCATTTTGAGATGTTACTGTACTTATGAATAAACTGTTGCACGACAAGTGACGATCAGACAATTAACTTACGCCAACGTTTACAGGCGTGACAGAATCTGAAAGTCTTGTGCAGAAATTCTTCTCCAGTTCCTAGCTTATCCATTGTTTCACTGTGAGATCTGACTTTCAATCCAAAAGTTTCCTAACTGTTCAGAGCTTCTTTCAACAATAAAACTTGTTCCTAAATTGGACGGGAGGGCAACACTGCTTTATTCTCGAGCTCTGAGATGGACAGCCAGAATACATCATGGAAAGAGACAGATGCTGTGGGTTTCAGATGCTGAACTTGCACAGTGGTCATTCTCTTTAGAGTACCTTTATGTCCTTGTACCAATTGCTAGTTTTCAACAAATGTTTCTCCAGAGGGAATAACCTTACAAGAAAGTAAGAAAGCTTTTTCTGCACTTTATGTAAAAAAAATTGTGAACAATTCTGTAGAACTGCGTAACAGTAACAGCGCAGCTTAAGAAACGTATGCTCATAACACTAAGTAAAAATCACAAAGAACAAGCTATACAACCAGTTCTCAGCTCAAAACAGTCTTACTGAAAAAAGTATTTTGCATCAATGTCATCCATAGTATTAGGCAGGCACTATTTTCTGCTTCTTACTTATATCATTATAGTTCAAGCTCTTTTACCCTGATAAGATTTGCTTTAAATAAACAATGCAAGAAACTGTATGAATAGAGAAGATACATTATAATAAAATCGACTTTAATCATGTCTTAACTTGTAACAAAAGCCCATCCTCCTTTGTTCCTTACACAACTACTGCTGATTTCTATTTAAAAATGCTGGTCACCCAAGGAACTCAGAGAATTTCACAAACGTTAATTAAACAAACCCTACAAACCTCATTTGTTAGCAGATTTGTTACAATTTTCAAGGCCAGTAACATGTCATGGCACACGGGGGCTAAATGTGATGCCTATAGCAAATACGCAGGGCAACACAGAGGATGGGACTCATCCTCTGGTCTTGATCTTAAGTCATTACATTGTTTTGCTCTGCAGCTCCCATTTGCTTCTCAGTAGAAGCGTTAGCAAAATATCATGAGACTCTGAAGCCTCTCAAAATTCTGTTGAATATGTCTTATTTTGTGGAGAACTGAACACATTCAGGAAAATCACAAAATGCTACTTTAAGAAATAACACGGTTAGACACTAATTTGTATGTTAACACCGATAATAAACCTGCTATAATCCATTGCTTTCTCCTTTCCTTTTTCAGTGATTTATTTGAAGGGGAGAAAAACTGCCCCAACACCAAATGTGTCATCTGTCTCATAAATGTCACATCTTTTTCACAGCATTTACCATCCTGCTGGTCTAACTACCAATCTGGACAGTAGTACAAAACAACAGGCATATTGTTAAATCTTTTGATAATAAAGCTTTATCTTGTAGACATGGGATTAAAGTTCTGAGCTGCACCATACTGCCAGGATTTTGGAGAAAGAGAGATGTAGATAATAGCCCATGTAATCTCCTCACCTACTTGTAAATAGCTTATCCTCATCACAAAACAACAGACAAATTCCCAGTTTAAGATGAGCACGAACGTTAAACATTGCAAGAGCACACAAACAACCTTAAGTACAGTAGTGTCCTTAGCAAAGCATGTTTGGCTAAGGGAAGACTGGAGGGTTATTAATGAAAGGTCTTAATTCAACTGCTTTGAACAGGGCTTTGCTTTGTCTCTAAGTAGAGAAAACTGCTGCTTCGCTACAGTCAAAGTTTAAGAAGTCAAGATGTAAATTAAATAGAATAGAATCATTTAGGTTGGAAGAGACCTTGAAAATCATTGAGTCCAACTGTTAACACTGCCAAAATATTTGCACAAAGTAAAGAAAACTAATTTCAAACTCATTTCAAAAATTAAACAAGGAGAGATGTGATACAAATTGTCTTCATTCAAAGAACTAAATATATTCTATGATTACCCTTTGGTTTTGAAACTCTCTCAAACATTCTATATTTACAGCAAGACATTTGAAGAATTTCTTTAAACAGTTTCAGTGAGACCGTAGGAATACACATTAACATTGTTTCTCTAAACCAGCCCCCTTTGCGCGTTTCAAACTGTTCACAGAAAGTCCCACCCTCCGGAAGCGTTGCTTGCTCTGGAGAGCGAGTTGCAGGTTCTGCACAAAATAACTTCTCTGTCCAAAAGAAGACCACAGAAGGAACGACAGAGGAGGCTCTGCACCACACACAGCAACGTCAAGTCCACTGTGACACTTCCAGCAGACTCTAGACCAGTGCAAGCTCCGCTCAAGCAGTGAGACTCTTAGAGAAAGAAAACTGCAAGAGCAGTTCGCCTTAGAAAGCAAGATCCTGTGCTCAGTTACATGCCCCCTGATGTGGAACTTCCCAAGGACAACACTTCCAGATGCCTATAACCCGGAGGCTGCGATTTGCTGTGAAGCTGAACGAGACGCTGTATTTCCATAGAGGAGCAAGGTGCTTCAGTAGATTGTTCTGACGTACAGAGCTGTCAGAATAGTTTTGCATTAATCTCTTTTCTGCCTTGATGTTTCTTTTGGAAATACATATGGTTGAAAACTTGTGTTAATAAAACAACGTTTAAAGAATTTTTGAAAGGTTTAAACAAATCTCTAAATAATTCAGTCCTGAATAGGCTCAGGAAGCTGAGAAACCAGTTATACTGGTGTGAAATAGGTATGAGATAGACAGTAACTGCCATAGAGAGGAGAACTTCTGATAAATCTCCTTGGATATTTTGTCTGTTACACAAGCGTAGCTGACATAGGGCTTTATTTACCGGCACACCAGTTCCTTTGAGAACTAATACATCCTCATACTGCCTAAAAAACTTTAAACAAAATGTTTTCAGTAATGTAAACACAATATTCTCAAACCTTCTCAACCAAGGTTGCTAAAGTGAGACTTGTCCTAAAATGAAACAATAAAAATCGACGGTGTATAGAAGATGCACATTCTAAGGATATAAAGATAAACTTCAGCTAAGCTTTATGTGGCCACTCAGTGCAGCCCTTTCCTTTGCAAAGTTTATCCCACATTGATGAGGGTAACTCAAAATTAGAGCCTCTGCAAATTGACAAGTCCAAAGGCTGCTGCTGAGCTGCTCACCACAGGACCAACTCATGATTGCTCATCAGCGGAGCTGGCTGGACTTGCAGCAAGTGCATTCTGCATGACTTAGTGAGAAGGCGAGAATTTTATTCTCTTTGAAGAGCAAAGTCCAGATATTAAAAGCACGTTCTTTCCTCGGTGTTCTTTCCTAGTACTTCACACCTGTCCCATAACATATTAATGGGCAGTTTTTATCCAAGATCTCACAATGCAGTGCTTAAATTCCAATTATTCCAGTATTAAAATACATCTTCAAACAAATGATGTCAATGGTACACAACAGAACATCCTGGGCCTGGTTCCTCTTGTACTCAAACCATACCCAGCTCTGCTCTGGAAGCACATATGGGCCTTTGAACGGATAAAAATTACGGTTAGAGATTAGAGAAAAAAAGCATGCTTTTGAGTTACCGTTTTTTGCAGGCATCTTGTTTAGTCACCACCTTCTTTTTTTTTAGGGATTAGACATTTAAACCCTTCTGTTCTTACGTGCTATAAAGAGGAATTCTTCTAATCCACAAGAATTTTGATTTACCTGTTTGTAGAAGCCCTTTCAGCTAGCAGTATCTTACAACTGTTTCATTTTAAAAGCAGTCAGACTCCAGTGAATTACAACCCTTTAAAAAATTCCACTTCCCACTAGAGATCTTTACAGACAAGCTTCAAAAGACACGTACCTCCTCTTCTCTTTAATAGTTTTCTCTTTTCTCATTTTGTACAATTGGGGGTGTCACTGTTCAAATGTATTATAGCTAGAAATAAAATCACCAAGTTAGAAAATCAGAGGTTCAGAGGAAATGTCTTCCATGGCAGCGTCTGAGTACACACGATTTTTTTCTTTGAGGTTCAACACTGGACTATGAGAAGAAGCAGTGAAGCAGCAGCTGTGAAATAAATATTCTAGTGATTCTAAGTGGCAAATGAAGGACCCATTCTACTTACTTAAAAGGAACCCGTGAAACTGCATTCAGATTGGTGGGAGAAGTCAACACTTGAAGAACATTTTCAAGAGCAGTCAGTCCTCCTGCAGCCCGAAATGCTATTTGGTCTGCGGTGTTCTAGATAAACACAAACACAAAACAGAGAGAACCAACAGAAATTAAAGAAATTCCTACATAAAAGATATGCCTGACAGACAATTCTTCTGAGTTTCATCAACGTAGAAAATCCTTAATACATATATCTATCACGCTGGACATCTTTGAAAAAGAGCATTTCATTGTCAGTGCACAAGGAAGAGTACTCTTGAGAGCAGGAACAGAAATTCTCAGGTCCTATTATTTTCAAAGATCATCTATACATACCCAATACTATATAGGTAACACAGTTGAACATCATATTTTCTGTAACAACACATTGTTATAGGGATTTTAATAAAGTTAGTCTTTATCTGTTGCTGTTATCTTTGTAGCTACACTTCATTACATCGTATATGATTTAAACAATACGGACAATATTTGGATTGGAACTTCCTCTTTTTCACAAACTTTTCCAAAAGGACATAACCTTCAGGCTTGTTCCCCAATTTTCACTGTATGCATAAAATCCCTTTTTATCCCTGATATTCATTATATGCATAAAACAGCTTAGGCAGCTCATTTCAAAACATGAGCAGCATCGTGACCATTGATGACACCTGGTTACATACTTCAGAGAACGTGGACTCCGTAAGTCAAGTCACTGATGAGGAAGAAAGCCTGACAGAGTCACCAGTCAGATGTCTCATCTTACCCGTAATCTTAGGAAGACAGAAACGCTGCCTGACTGAGGCTGTTGAGAATACAAGTTGGTTAGCTTTTCTGTCTTCTCAAACTAATTGCTTAGAGTTTAAGAATCAGGTTAAAAATCGATGTGATTTTTGGTAGTGTTTTAGTTATGGGAAACTATAGAGGTAAAGTTGGAAATTGTCACCTAGATGATCAGTGTATTCTATCTCTTTAGCAACTCCAACTTATTATGCCCCTGGTCCTTTGTCTAATTCACTGCTTGCAGCTTATTCAAAATGTAGCAGAATAAATGAATATTTTTAGCTTTGAGGTATGACATTCACATCCAGCTTCTTTAGCATTCATTATGCTGTGTTGTTGGTTATAAATGGAAAGATTCAATTTAAACTAGTGCCTAGTGATTAAAACTTCTAGAGACTCTGGCAATAAAAACTTTCTTTGAGCAATTAGAAATATAATTGAGCAAGACATAATATGATTTGTGGAGGGTGTCCCTGCCCATGGCAGGGGGGTTGGAACTAGATGATCTTTGAGGTCCCTTCCAACCCAAACCATTCTATGATTCTATGATTTAAAAGAGAAACATTTCTCCCGCTGAGAATTAGACATTAATATGTAAACACAAAAGTATATATCTTACTTTTAAATCGTGCAACTTTCTCTTCATTAAGTTTCTTTCAAACAAACATGTCTATTTAAATGACTTGTTCCAAGCTCCAGAAAAACTGTTTGAACAGGCAAGTCAGATATTCAGAAATAAACGATTTTCCACAATTAGTATGCACTGCATGTAGATTTTAGAGAGCCAAAAGGTTTACCTTCAGAGAAATAAGTAGCCTCAAGTGAATGGAAATCTGTGTGCCAACTCACCGAGCAGTTAAGATTACCAACCACTGATTTCCTACTGGCTAACTGATGAAGACTATTTCTAGCAGTCAACTTTAGTCCTGTTAGCCTGGCAGAGGGTGCCTTAACTGAAGAGCTACTTTTGAGTTTCACTCATATATTCCTCCTTTTCTTCCTCTCCCTCTCTTCCAAATTAGAAAAACCTGAAGCAACAACAAAAAAAGCCTCCACTTCCCTTGGTGATCGACGTACACACATAGCCAGTGTAGACAAACGTGCACGAGGATTTCTGCACGTGACTGGCACGCTGGCATCGCAACACACAAACGAGAAAGGCATTTCTGTGACGCTGCTGATTTATTTGCTACAGCGTATTTGTTAACTACAGCTTTAAACGTGCCAAGCACTTCCCATTTCTCACTTTCCCTATTTCTCATGGGAGATTATGCCACAACCTATTAGCTCTTGTGGCAAAGAAGTTTCTCCTGTCATTTAGACCAAATGTGCCCTTTCTCTATTTCATCCCATTGCTTTCAGTTATATCCCTTTTTATTGCACTCATTTTGTTTCTCCCCTTAGTAACAACTCCATTCTTGAAATCATGCACTGTTCCATTTTCCTACTTGGGCTTGCTTCTTAACTCTATATATTCACTGATGCTAAACCAATCCTTTTATTTTTTTTCTTGCAAACTTTTCTTACTTGTGATTTTTTTCCAGAACTCGTTCTTTTCTCAATAAATATCTAGTAATGAAGTGTCTAGATATGAACTTTTTCCACCTCCCAAATCAGTCACCAGAGCCACACTGAGAGAAGCTACAATATCTCCTTATTCTGTGAGGAGAAACTCGTGTATCTATCTATCTATCTATCTTTTGAAGCAGTTTGATTTCCTACATGCTCTCCTTCCACTTCCATCTGAAGCATCATTTCTCTTCAGCATCACTTCTTTTACGGATTGGCTTTTTTCAGAGTGCCTGTTTCACTTTTGTCTAACACTTGGCTAAAGTACAAGCATACTTCGCAAAACACAAATTTATATTTTAAAGAATTTCCTTTACTACTACAGTTTTCTATCAAGCAGAAGCAAGTTTCTAATTTCTCTCCATTTTATATGGTTTAGCTTTATGTCTTATTATTTTGCTTTCTAGCTTACTCATAAAAATGAATCAGCGTTTTGATGCTTACCCATCAGGGAAAAAATTCCCTAACTCCATACATGGAAGAGCAAGGGGAGAGACCTTAAATAAAAGGAAGAAACAAACCAGCAGTAAAGTTGGAAAAGATACATGAGCACAGTATTTGCTCACTGTGCTTACAAAGGTCTATAAAACTGCTACTTATAGGAATACACTACTTTTGGCATGATATTTAATATATTTATCTCCAAGAATTCTTTCAAGATGGAGAACTCGAGCTTTTAACCCATTCACTGAAAGGCAATGTTGATTACCAAAGAAGCTGCTGGTATACAGTGCCTGGGAACGACCTTGGTCACCACACCAGTGTCCTACTATCAAGAATCCCAGGTTCAGGCACAGCTCCTTGAGCTTGGCCTTGGGTCAGCGGAGGTCATGGGAACTGAAGGGAAAACGTGCCCTACCCACAAAGGAGCAAAAGAGTCACTTGAATATTGCATTACTGGCATTTCAGAGTGAATACTGTGTGACTGTGGTACCGGAGGAAACAGTGAAAAACAGGCAATTCCCTCAGCTGTCCACAATACGACACCTCTTATTGATGAGCTGTCTATAAAGAACAAACAGTATTAAATCTCCCCAATGTTGAAAAATATTGTCACTCTATCTTTGAAGTACAGCAGCCAAATAACACCAAATTATTTTAGAATATGTCTGAATTAATTCCTACTTGAGGCGATTTTCAAATTTTGAATACTTATATATTCATCTAAGGAAATCTTTCTTAAAGCATAAACATATGGGGGCAGGCTACCTTATCCAACTTGTCTTTCTTTCAAAACAATCAACCTATATCCTTCAAAATATGATCTAAACTCAGTTAACGTATATTAACACATATATTAACACATATTAGAAATTCAAAAGAAGTAGATGAGGCACGTAAGTTATTCAAAGCCTTGCTTCTTATTTGAATTGGTCCCCACTTAAATCTGCGTCAGAATGAAAGTCCCATGCAGGTAACTGACTTTCACTCTGGCAGCACCCAAGTTACTGAGTAGATCAGGCACCACGTGAGCATGAAAAGTGACAGATCTTGTAGGGAGTAGATCTTAAACCCCTATTTGGAAAGACTATAATTCAGCATGGCATGTTCTTGCTGCTTGAAAGAATCGTCCAGATGTCTAACTTGGTCTCCCAAATTACTTAGCTAGATGTATATGAAACCCATTTCATAATTTCATTATATTTTCAGAAATTCACAACTACTTCAAAAGACATTTTTAAACAATTTGATTTCTAAGTACAAAAGGATCTCAAAGCTCTGAAGTTACCCGGTCACACAGGAGAGCAGAGACAAGTGAACACGTAGGCAAAAATGATTATTACTGTCACCTATGTGTTTCTCAACAGAGAGAGGAGGTGGCACAAAAACCTTGGGGATGCCACCTAGATGTGTCTTAACCATTACAAAAACAATAACAGAGACACTGTCTTCGGAACACCAGATTTAACACTCGAAACAAATACAAGAAAAAAACCTCTTGTTTTCTTTCTCAGTGATACAGACTTGTGAGGAAGAAACACAGTGGTCTGGTTTGCAGGGGAGGAAAGCCAACACAGCTGATGTGATATTAGGTATGTATTCTTAATCTCTGGATCATTATAAACATGTCATTTAGAGCACACAGCAACTAATTTCAGCAGAACAGTGCCAGAATCAAGTAACTTCAGCAGACAGCGTGTGTACACTAATGCATATGTGGCAAAGTAAACAGAAACAACAATAAATTAAATCATGTAACCATTTTATGGATCAATTATGAATTAAGCATTTTAAGAAACTTAAAATTAATCCTTTAAAAAAAAAATAAAATCATGACAATCAAGAAAGCTCCCTCACACTGGGCTAGTGTGGCTGACTTATTTACCTACCTGTTCCAACACCTTAATGGATTTGAATTTCCCTTCTCTCCTCTCCTGTGGCTTGAGTGACAACTGACTAATAGGATTACAGGCTCTGTTCCAATAATACAGCTCAGCTACATGCCAGCAAAAAATGACAGCCTAAACCTGAATTACATTGCCTGGGAATCCATCCAATTATTAACTAAAGTAACTGTTATTACCTAACCTAATCAAAGGAGAAGCAGCTGTTAATCTTTGGTGGCCTGCAGTATAGCAGCGGTCAGACTGGATGAACTGTCTTTGTACTTGACTCCTCTACAGACAATAATTATGTCCTTTGTGATCAAGAAGGAAGGGCTTCCTAACCTTTCCGACAGCGGCAGCAGATGGGGAACAACTGTTTGTGCGTTCATTAACAAGATAGGGTGGATTTTATCA